CACACACACACACACACACACACACACACACACACACACACACACTCGCACACACACACACACTGAACATACCCTCCTCTGTCTGCATTCACCAACCCGCGCCCCAACCCCCCAGGTGACTGTGCTATACAACCTGTGCAACGAGCCGTGGCTCAAGTACAGCATGAGCGGCATTGCGGACCAGGGGCTGCGCTCCAGCCAGTGGACCAGCGCGCGGCTGCGCAGCCAGACGCTGTATCTCGAGACAAGCAGGTGCGCGCCGGCTGCGAGCCAACATGCTTGTGTCATGAGGGGGGAGGGGCCCAGGGAAAAGGGGAGGTGAGTGGAAATGCCAGCGTGCAGTTTTGTTGGTTGTGTGTTGCATCTTTCGGGTGGTTCGGGTGGCCTGCCGGCTCCGACGGCCTCGCAGGCTGCGCAGCCGCCGTGCAGAGTTGATTGCCGCCGGCTCCCAGCAACCCGTGCCACCTTCAGACTTCCAACATTCTGTCGTGGACGCTTGTCAACCCCCAGGGAGAGGTTTGAGCTGAAGTACCAACCGCCGCAGGAGCAGGAGGAGCGGCAGCAGGTGCGGGTGCGGGGCAGGGGGCGGCCGCTGCCCGTGAGCCCCGCTGGGGCGCTTGCCGGCGGCTGGCGCCTCCCTCGGTCGCCCGCAGGCTGGTGCTGCTGGTATGAGACTGCCGCGGGCAGTGCGGTTGTGACCACCGCTTGGAACACCGCACTGGCTGTAATCCACGACCCTGGGCAGGCCAGCACGCCCACCATGCTTGTGACCCTCACCCCTCATTGAATCTCTACGCCACCCCTGCTCCCAGGACCTGTACCAGCTGGCGCGCTGCAAGTGCGCGCTGCCCCTGGCCACCATGAAGAAGCTCGGGGTGCCCATGCCGCCGGCAGAGGTGGAGGTGCTGCAGAGCGACGTAGCGTGGGACGAGTTCAAGGTGCGCTGCTGCGGCTCGCTGTGTGTGCGCAAACACGCGCCATGGCCAGCGCGAGCGAAGCATGCATGCTCCTGTCTTGCTGCTCTTGGCAGGGGCCTTGCGGTGCATGGCCTTGCACCATGCAAGGGGGGCCCGTAGCGCTTCTCCTCTAACAATTCATGCTCCCGCCCCTGGCTCTGTTTGCCAAGCAGCTCGCCGCCCGCATGACAGTGCCCCACCTTGTCCCCACCCCTCGCACCCACCCGCCCACCCCAGTGGTCCAACCTGTCAATGGCAGTGCGGGGCCAGGTGTTCCACGTCGTGCGCATGCACTTCATGGCCAACTCAAAGCCAGGCGGCGGCGGCGGCGGCGCGGACAGCAGCAGCTGACGTAGCGGGTGACGCACGCCTGCACTAGCATGCGCAGCTGCTGCTGTGCGCATGTGCGCGCGGCCGCGCACGCGCTGCCCTCTTTTTCGCGCGTGCTCGCCCTGCTCTTCGTTTTTGATCGCGCTCCTACTTTGTCGTCCCTCTTGATTGGACACGTCACGCCATTACTGATGCGGGCGGGCAGCTCAACGCCGCCTGGGCCAGTGCTGCGAGCGCCCACGACGACGCGCGCCGCGTGCCGACAACATAGTCCACCCCTGCTGCGGCTCAGCCAGGCCAACCCCCCGCCCACTCGCACTGAATTTCAGCACCCAACTAGCTGGGTAATGTGGACCACCCTCCCCTTGGTGCTGTTGCCATGTGACCTGCTCCATGGCCCTCCCTGGTACACCTAATGTCAAGTATCTCAATCTGCAGCCAGATCTGACCGATCAAGCAATCTGAGTTGGGCACTGGTGTGGGTGGCACTAGAGATATGCAAACAGCAGGTGCTTCCTACCCAGTTCAGCCCGACAAGATGCAATTGTGTTTGATTTTCTCTGGATGCTGCGTTGAGAAAGCCAGTCTGACGCTGCTCACAATCACCCCCTGCTCCATTGGTCAACCTGCTTTGCCAGCCGCCTGATTGAATCTAGAGTGTCAAGATTTACACGGTGCAATTGAGGTTTTATGCAGCCTGATTACAACACGCAACCGCTGACCACTGAGGGCGGGCAAGCGTCATGCACAACATGCGTCATGCAGGCATCCATATGCCGCATGAGGCCGCAAGCGTTGGCTTTGAGCTATGACGATGCGTCCTGAGGGGGCAGCTGGGAGCCACGTCAAGCCATTTACTTCACAACCACCTGCAGTTGATGGGGGAGGGCCAATTGGGCCGGATGTGAGGTGCTGACTGCTCGGCTGCCAGTGGCTGGGGTAGGAAGAATTGGGATCTCCATGCACCCCTCCCGGACGTCAAAGCCCAATAGAGCGTCAAGCGCGACATTTCAGCAAGTCAAGCTTCTCTGCTGGCAATGAGGATGTCTGCCGTAGTGAACCACCCAGAAAGATGGCTGGCGAAGGGGAGCGCAGCGGCAACCCCCGGTACTCACAGTGCCGACCATGCCAGCACCCTGGTGGGGCTCGCAGTAGTACTTGTAGGTGCCGGAGGCAGAGAGCTTCAGGCTGTAGGTCTCCCCGGGGGCGTTGAGGTAGTCGTCGCGCGAGATGGCGTCGGCGTCCACGCCGGCGGGCACCTCGTCCTCGTCGAACACAATGTTGTGGGGGAAGCCGGCGTTGTTCACCCAGGTGATGGTCTCGCCGGAGCTGACGGTCACGGTGGAAGGCTGCAACGCAACATGGAGCAGTGGGGGTTGTGCAAGACGGTTGTAACAACTGCCAAGGATATGGGGAGCGCGTCTGCCCCAGCGAATGCATGTGGAGGCGACAGCTCGTCCCCCCACTCTCCGGTGGGGGGCCACTGCGCTTCAGGGCTCACTGACATATCCATGCCCGCCACTGTTGGCGTAGCAACGTTGTAATGCATGCTCAGCGGGGCCGTTCGGGGCGAGGGCTGGGCCCCTCGCGACCACGGCAGTCGCGATCGCAGACCTTTGCGAAGGGTTGGTCCGCTCACCTCGAACACGAGCGCGCCGTTGTCAGCGCCCAGCTTGACGGTGGCCTATGAATGTGTCCAATGGCGGGGGAGGCAGGGTGAATGGCTGCGCAGGGAGGCCACGGCACCCGAGCATGGCGATCAGAGATCCAACTCACGTCGGCCGAGGCGGCCATGGCCAGCGCCAGGGAGGCGACCGACACGCCCGCCGTGGTGGCCACACGCTGCACGGCCATCCGGAGGCCCTGGGCGGGCTTCACGGCGGTGCGGGCCGCGGTCTTGCTCATGGTCGCGCGGAGGGCCATGGTTGATGCTGGGGTGTTCGACGGGCTGGATGTGAACGAAATGTAGCTCCGGGATGAAGGCGCTGGCGGCAATGGCCCGCATTTATGGACTCGACCACTGCATGGGGAGTCTGACGGCCTTTTCGATCTCAGACGGCCTTCCCGCAAAGGGGCCGTTCACATAGAATCGTCACATTGCCTGATCGGCTCTGGCCAAGGCCAGGCTTTGCTTGGCCGTAGATCGGTACATGACCTGACCTCAGCTACAAAGACGCGAGACCATGCGTGTGAATGTGCGTATCAATTGAGTGCAGTTGGATACATCGGAATAGTTTGTGCTTCACAGCTCGACACCAGCTCACTCGCCAGGGTCCAACGTCGCTCGGGGGGAAGTACTTTCTGTACAATGGGACGGTGGGCGGCAGCAGAGTACGGGGGGCTCAGACGCACACCTGCATTGCTCAAGGACATTGATGACTATGATTTCAAGTTTTTGTGGGCCTGCTGCGAGAGATACATGCACCCCGGGCACTCCCGCATGGGTGCCATGAGGCAGCTTGGCTGATTAGCAGTGGGCTGCTCGCTGAGTTTTCTGTCCAACCCTCCTGTCAGCTGCACAGCTGAGTAGACTCACCTCTGCCTGCTGCATTATCTATGGCTACTGACAGTGTACCAGGCACAACTGATCTGGCTGTGCTACTGTACCGGTGGCGCCGTTTTACAACAACGCTTGGCCTGCCAGCGCCAGCTGCATTGGGTGGCAGGGATGGCGCCACGTGCGCGTTGGCTCTGGCACCGGACGAAGATGCTGCACAGCTAGACAAAAGACTGGCGCCGCACGAAGAGGATGGCAGGCGTGGCGACTAACAAATGCGGACAGGGCGCACATTTTCACATCTGCACGTTGGCGGATCCCCCCATTGCTGCACCAACCGGCGCGCACCAGAGTCCCGTGACAATCGAATTCCCCTTTGCCCTCAAACCAGCGCGACAGCAAGGCAGACCGCCCGTCAAAATTCAGCACGCTGCAGGTGCCGCCTCCCAGGGCGGGCCACCACCTATTCCGTCCCGTAAGCGGTCACCCCGGAGACGAAGGACACGAACTGAAAGCAACCAGCAGGCAGGGCGGGCGGCGCCGCACAGGCGGGCGACAGTTGCTGCGTTTGGCGTCGCGTAAAACGTGCGGGTCGTGGTTCGTGTGCTGCACTCTTCTTTTGCTCTTGGTCTAGCCTGGCCCCTGGGAAGCCTAAATGAAAAAGAGGCACAGGCGGGCTGCACTCAGGCGCCCCCACCATTCTACTGCCCCAAAAGCGCGCTGCGGACGTGCCAACCGTGCGCGCGCTTGGTGAGGGCCGCAGGGACTATCCAGCATTGCAAGGCGCGAGATAGAGTATGGGTTGGGGCCGCCGGGGTTGGGGCCGCCGGGGCCGGGGCCACCGCGGTCGGGGCTGCCGCGTGGCGCTCACTTGCCCTTGCCAAACTTGGAGATGGTGATTGTGGGGATCTGGATGGTGGGCAGCTCCAGGGTCTTGTACTCGGGCTTGCACACGGCCCAGCCGCACTGGGCGTAACCGGAGGTGTCGGTGGGGGTGCTGGACAACGTGCCCTTGCCGAAGAAGTCTGAGCCCTGCAGCTTGCGGCCGCCCTTGCCAAACAGCTTGCCCTTGCCCAGGACGGAGATGGTGGGCAGCGACAGGGTCTTGACGGATGTGGTGGGGGCTGACGCCGTTGAGGCGCCGACGTCGACGGTGGTGGTGGTGGTGGCGGCGGGGGCGGCGGCAACGGCTGCCGTCGGGGCAGCAGCGGTGACATCCACGGAGGTGCCCGCTGACGAGGGGGCGGCTGTGGTCTGGGTGCAGGTGCTCGGCCCCAGGTCGATGCAGGTGAGGTCTAAGAAGGGCGAGAACTTGGCGATGAGGCCGCTGCCGACGACCTGGGGGTTCAGGTTTTGTGAGCGCGAGCACGAGGATGGGTGTTTGAGTTTATAGGAATTATTTGTGCCTGCTGAGAAGTGTGCCAGTGGTGCCGCAGTTTGTGCGTGTGCTTGATGTGCAAGCACAACTTATTGTTGAGCATAAATACGCAAAAAAACAAACCGGACGGGAAGCCTGCGGCGTGTCTGCACTGCCGCCTCAACACTGCCAGGCGCCCACCTTGCCCGAGGCAACATCGCAGGCCAGACCAGAGTACCCGTTGAATGTGGCCACCTGTGAGGGGGCAACAAGACAAGTGTTGAGCAAGACGCGGTGCAGTGCGGCGGCAGGCTCTCAACTGGCTGCCACAACTGTCATCTGAGGAGAGGATGCGGCGGACCCACGCTAATTGAGAATTTTGACTTCGGGAGGGTGCACTGCTGCTGTGAGAGTCCAGGCGCCAGCGGCTGTGCCTCGCTCACCTGGTTGCACACGGGGGTGGGCGAAGGCGACGGGCCGGGGACGGGCGACGCCTCCGGCGACGGCACTGGCTCGGGCGACGGCACTGGCTCAGGCGACGGCACGGGCTCGGGCGACGGCACTGGCTCAGGGGATGGCACGGGCTCGGGCGACGGCACTGGCTCAGGCGACGGCACGGGCTCGGGCGACGGCACAGGCTCAGGGGACGGCACGGGCTCGGGGGATGGCACAGGCTCAGGGGATGGCACTGGCACGGGGGTGGGCACAGGCGTCGGGGTCGGCACGGGCTCCGGCGCCTGCTGGGCGACAGCAACCTCGGTTCCACCCTGGGCGGGCTGGGTGGCCTCGACCACGGCCTGAGAAGTGGTGGGCTGCGGCGCATCCGGATCGAAGGGGCGATGGAGGGTGAGTTGGGTGAGTTGGGTTGTCAAAGGTCGGGGCATGTGCCCCGACCTTGGGGCACATGCGCACAGCTGCATTGAGGCCCTCGCTGACTGAGTGGGGGGCGGGCGACACGCCTCTTGAGGCCTCCAGGGGCGCCGCTGAGCCGCGCGCGGTGCCCAGCCCAAGTTGTTACGCGGACTTGATCCGCCTGGTACAGCGCCTTCTTCCTCTGAATTGCGGTGTTAAGTTGTCAAGTGCCCGCCCGTTGCTCACCGACGTAGGTGGCGGGCATGTCTCGCTCCCCCAGACCATGGAGACCGCCGGGCCCGGGCAGCCCGGGCCGTAGAAGCCCTTGAGGGCGAAGACGTGGTAGCCCTCAGGCGCGTTGACGGTGGTCTTGGTGGCGGAGCCGCAGCTACCGGCCGACACGGACCGGCCCGTGGAGGTGTAGAGGGTCAGGCACTTGATGCAGCTGCGGCAGCAGGGGGGGTGGCCCGTTGAGACACACGTAATTGTGAGGGCACGCGGGTGTTTGTGAGCTTCGCCATCACCCTGAAATCAGGTACGTGTGAGGTGGAGGAAGCGCCTTGCAAGGCTTGATCATACAGCCTCCTCAGGAAGACAGGCATGCACAGGAAGTTCTAAAGAGCAACCCCATTTGTCATCTTTGCGCAGCACTGGGGCTCTTGCACATCGAAGCTCGCAAGCGAGGTGGACAGATATGCCCTCGCCTGCCCTCCATCTCAAAGCGGCCGCATGCAAGGCTGCCTTCAATCTCCCACACACCTTTATGCCTCACTCCCTTGACAACCACGCACACAAAAATCCAGTCAAGCAGCAGACTAACCCGCTGGTCGCCACGTCAAACTTGGTGATGAACTCGCCCTTGTGCGGGCTCGGCTTGATGTCCACGCCGGCCCCGCTCTCACGGCCCAGCAGCTGCGCGCCAGAGGCGCTGTAGCCGTAGGTGGGCTGGAGGAGCAGGAACAAGGGGGTGTGTTCACACGTGTGTGTGTGTGGGGGGGGGCATGCAGGCTGAGGCCGGCTGAGGCCAGGGGTGAGGAGTGCGAGGAAGTGCAAGGGCAAGCAGCATTGTTGTGGCACGCACGCCGGGCTGCAGAAAGTACTTGACAGCCGAGTTCGGCCGCATACCCTTTCCCCAGGAGGTGGGGCTGCTCAAAGCTGGCCGTGCGCGTGTGCACTGGACAAGGCGTGGCGGACGCCATCGATAGCCCTGATTCTGGTTGTGCGCGTCCCCTGGGCCCTTGCGAGGCGCAGTGCCTTGCCTTGATGCCGGTGATGCAGTTTCCATCCGAGTACAGATTGACCTTCGTGATCCAGCCCGCACGCTTGGCTGTTGGGGTGTGAAGGGGGTTGCGGCAGGCAGCACGGATGCGCATGCGTGAAAAGCAGCCGGCTGGCTGCGCCGGCTTGGGCAAGTGGGCGGAGGTGCAGGTAGGCAGAGCACGGCGGCAGAGCAGTCCGCAAGGCAACCGGCCATTCTCGTGGCACCATGGCAGGGCGGCAAGGACAGGCAGGTGCGTGCGGGCACAGGCGCGGCTGATTGTGCGGTGCCTGGTCTAACAAGTTGCCCAGTCACCGGTCTGGTCGACAGCTGTGCCGCACTGGCTGCCAGCCAGGGCACTCTGACCCTTAAACGTGTTGCAGTTGGCTGAAAGCAGTGTGTGCAAGGAGGATAATGGGTTTTACAATGGAAGAACCCGGAGGAGGAGGGGCCGAACAGCTGAAGGGCCGCATTGCGCTGGCAGGCACGCGTCAGGACAGTTGAGGCGGGCTGCTCTGCGGTGTAGGCGGGGCTGACCGCCGGCTGGCTGGAGTCGCAATTCGCAGCTGTCACAAGCAGGGGCTCGGCTGCATTCTCACCAGACACCAGGGCCAGGAGCGCCGCAAATGCCACGACGCGGAGCATCTGCGCAGGGGGCGAGAAGGTGGCAACGGGTGACGCCTCTTGGCTCCTGCCGGCCACGTTTGGGGCGTGCCAGCAAGGCTGCACGCCATCCGCGGGAATTGCTGGGCAAAGTGAAGATCGCGTGTGGGGACTGACACCCGCAGGGCGCCCTGGGCCGCGGGATTGGCTGGAAGGTTGATCCGAAACACGCTCACCATGGTAGCGGGAGTGGCGAGCTGGCACAATGCCTCAAAGAGGAAAACGGAATGAATTGAATGAACGATGCAAGCGGGCAAGTTCCCCAGATGTGCCTCTCTGTTTGCAGTGCCAGTTGCCGACCTGTTGGGTCGAGTGACACAACCCTGTCTGAGCCGGGCGCAGTCGCGTATGCATAATCAAATAAAACCGTTTCATATTTCACCGAGAGCCCATCCCGATACCCCTGGCACACCTGACCTACACGGATGCTCGGAAACCGGCACAAACCGTTCCTACAAGCCGTGGACCACATGGACAATGACCATACAGCGTAAATTTATCATCCACACGACAGGTGTCCGCGGCTGGCGGACACAGTCGCGCGCATGGCGACTGCGAGTCAGTTTGGTCACGAAATGCGGCCACCAGCAGGGATCGTGGTGCCGGCACCAGTCAGGGGCCTGACACCTCTATGTGCTCAGACCTAAATTCAGAGCTCCGAGACTGCTAGACTGCATCTATTGAAAGGCACGTGCCAGCGTCTTCTTTGCTTGAGAAGTCATCTGAGTATGATGCCCTGACAAATGTCCCGCTTTGGCCAAGCAAGGCACGCAGGAGGCCAAAAAGCTTGGGTCAACATATGGCCGCTTCAGGTGAACATTGATTAAAGCCTGCGGCTGAACATGCTCCCGGGCGCAGTCATGGAGGGCTTACGCAATCGCGAAAAGGCCAGCTCTGTCACGGCTGGTGTGGGTTGGCGTATTATGACGCTGCTACTGCAACAGTGGCTCAGGGGCTTGTGAGGACCATGGCAGTGCGCTCTCTCCCCTGCTTGTGTTCAATCTTGCGTGACAGAAGCCCTTCCTCAACACCAGGGTGTGCTTTCACCCAATAACTGCCTGTTACTGTCGTAGCCAGCTGTGACTGCTCTTGGTGTTCGGTATGACACCTCAGCTCAGCTTGCGCTGCCTCTGGTTTGCACATCCTTGCACGTGTCTCTCTATTGTCTACAGTGTCGGCAAGGCATCAGGATAGCCACTCCGCAACACCACACATTGACAGGGCCGTACTTCGGTTGCTAGATGGTTGTGCTCACAGATATCACCACACTTTGTTTGTCAGCGACCAGCTGGTTGTGCCAGTGCGCTTTTCACCCGACCACAACCTCAGCATCTTAGACGTGCCCTTCACTCATCCAAGCCCCACATTCCGAGCCGTGCGTCCACACACTGTACTTATCCACGATGATTTCGTACACGCCGGGAGTGCGCCCCCACGCGCGCACTCCACCACATACCAATGCGAGCCGCCCATGCAGCAACGTGTTTGAAATAGAACCAGCCAGCCACCAGGTTGCGAAGTCGTTGTTCATCTACGCTGACAGTAGTATCCAACCTTTCCACACAGCTATCTAAATCACGACTTGGAGCCTACAGTAGTGCAGGACTTGAGACTGCCATCGGTGAGCTGGCAGTGCACCCCTGCCGAGTGGCGCCGCCTCCAAGCTAGCCGGGCCAATGGGCCCCTGCCCGTGCGTGTTATGTATTCGTAATGAGAATCGATGTTTCAGCAGGGTTAGAAAGCCAGGATCGCGTAGCGCACATCCACCCTCTCGGACCCCGACAGACTTTCGCATAGATGCTGCAGCGGAGACAGCTATGCCAATGCGGCAATCAAACTGCTGTAAGGGGACGTGTTCGGCAATGCCGGCTGCAGGCGCTGCCTGAGGGTGATCAGCAATGGCCAGGTGCGCCTCCGCCGCCACGGCACTGCAGCGTGCTGCTCTGCCACTCGAGCGTCACGCCGGCTTTTGCGCGTCTTACAACAGGGTTGTTAGGATAGAGAGTTTGCATCCTATCTATCTACAGGCTTCATGGCGGTTTTGTTCAGCCGGCAGCCATAACAGTACGCATTGCTGCATGGTGTTCCGCAACCCAACAGCGCCAGCAGCGCCCAATCCAGAGCCGCAGCTGCGGCTCTCGGACCCCGCACAAACCATTGTGGCTGGCGGACGCCTGCCGAGCACACGCAGGTAATCCAGGGATAGTGGCCTCGAGTGCGTTGCCCCGCCTGCCTCGGTCACCCCGTTGTCCGTCCCTTGTGCGGTCGTCATGCCGTTGCTACGAGAGTCCCTCGTGTCACCTCTCGCCTGTTCACTCCGCACTGCCAGCGCACGCCGCGACGGCGGCTTTTTCCCAAACTCTCGTCCCGCCGCGGACGCGCGCGCGCCGCCCTGACAGGGCAGTGGTGGGGGGCGCGACGGCGGCGGCGGTGGCGCTGGGCGGCAACCTCGGGGGCGTCACCAGCTTCCTGCTCAGCCTCGACGGCGGCGTGCTGGCGGGGCGCCTGAAGCTGGACGTGCTCGTCCCAGTGCGAGGCCTGAAGCGCTGCGTTGACGCGCAGAATGGATTCGGTGGGCCCCTGGGGCGCTCCCTTGCCACCGCCTCGTGCTGCGCGGGGCTTTGCGTGGGCCTCTCCCTGGTGCAGCCGCTCTGCGGCCGCGTCGGTGTCGATTCCAGGCGAGGGTGGGGCATGCTGCTGCCAGCAAGTGTGTGCACCCCGATCCTGTTTTCGAGAACATTCTGCTGAACACGCTGATGCTCCTCGCACCCCCACTTGTCGCACCTCGCACCCCCACTGGTCACACCCACACACCATGCACCCACTCACGACCGATCCACCTGGCCCCCAGAGTTCCAGTACCCCGCCAACTGGCTGGGTGACCAGACGCTGGTGCAGCGCGCGGCGCAGCGTGCTGAGCGCGAGCGCGCCCTGGACCTGCCGGCGCTGCGCGGGGACGAGGCGGCGGCGGCGGCGCGGCGGCGGGGCGCGCTCGACCCTGTGGTGGCGTTCGGCCCGGCTGGCAGCACGTGAGCCAGGGGGAGGGGCGGCGTTCCTGCGAGATGCCTGTTTGAAGAAGCCTATGCAGTTGTGCACGATGCCAAACAGAGCGCGTGGACAGTACGTGGATGGAGGGGACAGGCGAGGAGGTGGCGGCGGGGCAGTCGCACCCTGCCGTCTCACCCGTGTCCTGGCCCAACCCCAGGACCTCCACCCCGCCCCCTCACGGCCCCAACCCGCCCGCTGCCCCCTGCGCCCCAGGGGCGAGGAGAACGTGTCTGTCATCGCGGGCCCCATCGCGCCCGGCTTCACGCTGGAGAGCCTTGGCACCCCGGACGAGGCGGCCCTGAGGTTCCTCAACACCACGGCCGCACCCCCCGGCTCGGGCTTCACGGGAACCCTCCTCTCGTCGTCACAAAGGTGGGCTGCACTCGCGGCCGCTACATCGTGGCTATCTCTACTGCGTGGCACGAATCAGGCGGCCGCACTCATGCACGCCAGCGTGGCAAAACTTCTACCGGCCTCTTTGCTGGCTGCCCCGGCCTTGCGCGCCACCCCCAACCCCGCCCTGCCCCTGACTCATTCCTGCAGACGCGACGAGGCAGGCGTCCTTTACTACCAGTTTGAGTTCACAATCGAGAAGGACCCCCCAAACCCTTTCTTGCGACACAACGTGTCCGTCCTCGCGGCGCGGGACGACGTACTGCTGTCACTCAACGCGCAGTGCCCGCAGGCGCGCTGGGAGCGCGACGGGCCACAGCTGGCGGCCGCCGCGGCGACATTCAGGCTGACGCGCAAGCCGCCGGCGCGACGGCGGCGGCAGCCGTACTGATGATCTGCGGTTCGGCTGTTTTGCTGCGTGACGTGCCTGTGGCGGTGATCGCAAGTAAGGCACAAATGTAGTTGCTCTCAGATGTGTCAGAAGAGCGGTCACATTATGCAGCACGTGAACGTTGAGTCAGTCATGTGTGAAGCCATGGCTTCAGTGACTGAGTCTCGCAGCATGTCTCTGCAGCTGTGTGGTACGCCAGCAGGGCGCTGGAATGTGATAGCCAGCAACAGATGTGCTCGGTAAGCCGTCGGCCAAACCCTGCGAGGCAGCCCACCCCTCTCCCCCCTACTGCCGCTGCTGCTACCAGCGTGTTTGTCGCCGCCCCTCCCCCGCGCCAACCCCTCCCCCGCTTCCTGTGATGTTGGGTGCGGTTCACGGCGTTGCCATCACCTGTTTCAACCCGCGGCGCGCATGTGGCAATTATGCTATTGGGCCGCTTGTTTGGGGGCGATTTTCATTGCAACCAAGCAGCTGCTCATGCAACGCCTATCGGCCACGACAGCATCCCTGAGCGAAGGACGGGGTAGCCATGATTCCTATGCGCTACGACGCGCAGGATTGCACAAGGCCACAGTGACCTGCCCACGAAGTGCGGGAAGCCATGAGACCCGGGGAACCGCTGGCGACTGACCGTAACTGGCAGTGTGCGCGTGGCGGCGGACCTAGCGCAGGTGTGCCATCGGTGCGTGACCGTCGCAACTGACATGCAGCTATTGAAGGGGCTTGCGCCAATATGGGAGGCGTGGCTGATTTCATCTGTTGCCACAGGTGACATCCTGGCCAGAGCAGTTGCGAGGGCTGAGGCGCTGGTCTGCAGGTGAGAGGTGACGCCTGATCACGAGTTCACGACAGCGGGAAAATACTTCAAGCCGTAGCAGCAGCCTGATCAAATGCCAATAGTTGTTGCTGATACTATCAGCCACTCAGAGGCGCAGCTTTTGCGCGTGACGTAGATCACGGGACGGTGCTCTGCGCTTTGATAGGCCCACAGCACCGCAATAGTACGTTTATGAGGCATGTTGTGATTGGTGGCGGCATCGGCGGCGTCTGCTGTGTGGAGGAGCTCTGCCGCCTGGTGCCGCAAGATGTTGTGACATTGGTGACCGCCTCCCCGGCCCTAAAGGTCAGTGCCAGACCGGCCAGGACCCCGCATACTCTGGCAGAAGCGTTGCCGTGGGGTGGCGGCTGGCCGTTGTTTCATGCCTGCCCGCACGGGTCCTGCGTGACATCAGCACTGCCAGGGCGCTGCTGCCTGCTCGCCCTGTTGCAGGGCGTCTCTGGAGTGGTGCGGCTTTCCAAGTACGTGGAGGAGTTCAAAGGTGAGCAAAGGTGATCAAGGAAGGTTGGTTTGTGAGCTGTATTGGTGAGCTTTCAGCAATGCAAGTGAAGGCTCTGCCTTTGCAGCTTCGAAACCAAACCTTCCGCGCCGCCAACCCCTTGTGGCCTGTGCAGTGGTGGAAAGGCGTGCGGAGTCTATGGTGCGCCGCAACCTGCGCATCGTCCGCGGCCGCGTGGTCGGCCTTGATTTGGCAGCCAGGACAGTCAGCCTGGCTGTAACGCACCAAGGCCCCACCACCCAGCAGCAGCAACAGCAGCAGCGGCAACAGCAGCAGCAGCAGTCTGGAACAGAGGAGGCCGAGGAGCTCCTGCCCTACGATACCCTCTGCATCTGCGCCGGCGCACGGCCAAAGGTGAGTGAGAAATGTGGCATGCGCTGGATTCGCTGCATCGTCAACAGCGCCCATACGCACCGCATGCCCCCGGGTTGCATTGTTTCCACCGACGCCACTGCGTGTCAGCGCGTCCCGCCTGTGCCTTGGCGGCCCTGGCGCACATGCACGGCTGCCATGAGAACGCTTATACACGCGCGACGCGTCGCCCAGGTGCTGGCGCACCACGACCGGGTGGTCACGCTGCGCGACACCGAGTCAATGCAGGTGAGGCTGGGTCAATGCTGTGCGTGCACACCACCACACACGGCACAACCAAGCAAGCGTTGCTGCCAGCCTGCTGTTTCCAGGCTCAAAAGCCTTCACACCTAGCGTGTGCACAACCGCAAGCTTCTGCTCTTGGCGCGCTTCTGCTCTGGCGGGTTGGTAGGAGTGTCACAACAAACGGTGTCCGCTAACACCGCTGCTTGCCGCCCCGCAGGACTTCGCGCACCGGCTGGCGGGCTCGCGGCGCGTGGTGGTGGTGGGCAACGGCGGCATCGCCCTGGAGCTTGTGTGCGTGGGCAGGGGCCTGGCTGGGCGGGTGGGGGCAGAGCGCTGCTGGAGGCTGCACTTGGGGCACGTGGGCAGCGACTGCAGCGCGGGCGCTTGAGCAGTGGCGCCACGCGGCGCCCCTTTGTGCACAAGGGGGCAGAGGGTGTGCTGCCGTCACTGATTATGGCCGCTGCTGTACCGCGCCTATGCACGCGACCACCGTGGCAGCGGCTCGGTTCGCGGCGTCGAGGTCATCTGGGTGATACGGCACAGCCACATCGCGGACGCGTTCTTTGACGTCGACGCGGCCGAGTTCCTGCTGGGGGAGATGCAGTGGCGGCAAGAGCAGGAGAAGGCGCAGCAGGAGCAAGAGCAGGCTGATGGGGGCGTGCAGACGCAGGATCGGGACAAGTCACAGAAAAGCATGACGCGTCAGCAGCAGCAGCAGCAGCAGCAGCAGGAGGAGGTTTGGCAGCAGCACGGCGCACCCGACCAGCGGCAGCAGAAGGCGCAAGGACGGCAGGAGTTGGGGGCCGCGCTCGGCCCTAAATGGACAGAGGCACTGCCCAAGGGGCCGCCTGCCAATGTGAAGCTGGAGAGAAGCGCACAGGTGAGCAGGCAGTCGTCGGACTGAGCGCTGCTGGCATGTTCAAGCAACGTATCAGCAGATAGAGGCGCACAGCCGGGTGCACGTCCCTCCCTTGCTGCCGCACAACGAAAAGAAGCACCTGTCAGAGGGCAAGCACAACCCCAGTCTTGTAACCCACAACGCTACCCCAAGCAGGTCTTGGGAGTCTCCAGCACCAGGGCAGAGGCTGTGGCGGCCTTCAGGGCACAAGCTGCCGGCTCTTCCTGCAGCAGCGGCCCCCGTGTGGACGGCAGCGTATGCACCAGCAGCACCAGCAGCTCGGCTGGCAACGCAGACGAGCAGGAGGCGTGGCCCGTGTGGCTGGCGCTGGCGGGGCCCGCAGGCGCTCACGTGCTGGGTGCCGATCTTGTCGTGTCGGCCATTGGGGTGGAGCCAGCAACCGAGTGGCTGCCCGGTGAGAGTGTGAGTCACCTGATACGAGAACAGTGTGGTCGCCGGGTTGATATGCGGGCCACGCATTGGTGTGTAGGCATGGTGACATGCTTTCCTGCATCTCAAGCAAGTCGGCGGTCAGGTCGCACCCCCTGCTGAGTGTAGGGCCGCGCAGCGCTAATGGCCACGCTG